GGCCTTGCTGCTCTTACGCTAAAAATAAGGTGGATAGCTTAAACTTCTGCATTTTCTGAAATTAATATGAGTTTTATATTGATTGCATTAAGTTCAAATAATGGTGGGACCCTCAAAATATCAAAGAAAACATAAGTAGGCCTATGTGTTTTTTGGGGGGGGTATATGATTTATGAGTGGTGGCCATGCAGAAATCGTTATTTTTGTTCATTCAAAATTAAACTAAAGGCATAAGAAAAGGCATTTTCGTCATTTAATTGGTTTTTGACAAAAAAATTAAAAATGAATCTATAGTTGCCAGGGCAACATTTCTCATTTTGATTTAGTTTAACTTGATGTATAACTAAAAGTAAAACTGAAATAAAAAAGAACTGTATAAACATTTAAATTAATAATAACAAAAATGACAAAAAACGAAATTACCAATTAAAATGAAATCAGAAAAATAAAACAAATCAAATCTATAATAGTATCTCAAGGATACAGTTCCTAAGTGTGTTTTAGGGTTGCTTTATTACTCAGTAAAGACAGATTTATGAAATCGTTAAACTTGAAGCAAATGTATGTTTCGTACCCTTTCATTTTTGATGGTGGTTGTATGATGCAGTGCCAGATTCCAGTGAACTCTTTCTGAGTCTGGATTCTGACCTGTGCAGGGGTCAAATCAACACATTTAGGGTCAGGAGATGATGTTACAATATCTGTATCTGTGCAGTTCTTTGTCATAAAGGCAGTTTACAAAATATCATGGGGGAGCAATCGGTTTTTCATCTCCTGTAAAGTTTTCGCTGCGTTCACCCCTCATCACACCACAGCTGTTTTCTCCAGCGAAAATGAAGCCCTTAACACATAGGCTATATAAACACTTACTATATATGAAACGATCATGTTGCCATTTTTATTTGAAAATTTTACTTTTAATATAAAACATATTAATTACAGTGCATATGGCAAATAGTTTTGCATACTTGAGCTAAAGAAAGAGGGTTGTACTAGAAATGCAAACAGTACAATTTTGTTTGTACGGCAAACAGGTGTGTGTGTGTGTGTGTGTGTGTGTGTGTGTGTATTCCTACTTAACCATATTTTGGCGACAAATTTGTACCCAAAAGTGAGCTAAACATGACAAAATCTCCAAAAACCTCCCTTTGGGGACGTCCTCATCCAGCCAGGGCCCTGACTTAAACCCAATTGAGCATCTCTGGAGAGACCTAAAAATTGCTGTTCACCAACGTTTACCATCCAACCTGACCGAACTGGAGAGGATCTGCAAGGAGGCATGGCAGAGGATCCCCAAATCCAGGTGTGAAAAACTTGTTGCATCTTTCCCAAAAAGACTCATGGCTGTATTAGATCAAAAGGGTGCTTCTACTAAATACTGAGCAAAGGGTCTGAATACTTAGGACCATGTGATATTTCAGTTTTTCTTTTTTAATAAATCTGCAAAATGTCAACAATTCTGTGTTTTTCTGTCAATATGGGGTGCTGTGTGTACATTAATGAGGAAAAAAAATGAACTTAAATGATTTTAGCAAATGGCTGCAATATAAGAAAGAGTGAAAAATTTAAGGGGGTCTGAATACTTTCCGTACCCACTGTACATAAAACCCCCAAAACTACTCAAAATGACAAAAACACACAACACAATTACTAAAACATTAAAGCTGCAGTCTGTAACATTTTAAATAATAATTAATAATAATTGTGTTCAAAATCGACAAAATTAACCAAAGATGAAAAATGAATGATAACAAATAACACTTATGAACACAAATATGTTTTAGAAATGTTTTTCGAAATAATGCACTTTACAAATATTTCTCAAAAGCACATGCAGAATGCTCTAATTGCCTTCTTTTTGTGTTTGGGATTTATTGGCTGGGATTATGACGGGCTTAGCTCTGGAGATTTAGATGTTCTGTCTGATTCCTGCCCTCAGCTCAACAAAAGCTACTTTCACCAGCAGTTATTAGTGTTTTAATAAGTCCAGTGATAAGTAGGTCTGTTTCACACAAACATCAAAACTTTTCATGTGAGGACTCAAATAGTTGAATGAAGACAGCTGTGTTTCCTGCTGCTGCCACTAGATAGAGCCATTAACCAGCATTAAACACACATATAATAAACATCAACTGATACTAACTCTTCATTCTGAACTCTTCATCCTGAAACTCTTCAGCAAACACCAGTGACTTGTTCATACGCTATATGGACAAAAGTATTGGAACCCCCTTCTTTAGAACAGAAAAAGGCACTTCTAAAACTGTGGCAACAAAGACGGAAACATAATTCATGTATTTAAAAACTGTATTTCCATCTCTGTTGCACCAGTTTTGGAAGTGTCTAAAATGACTTTATCCATATGTACAAGTCACTGGTGTTTGCTGATGAGTTTCTGGCTCAAGGTTTCTGCAGACCAGTCAAGTTCTTCCACACCGACTCAATCAATCATTTCTTTCTGAACCTTGCCTTACACACAGAGGCATCGTCGTGTTAGAATAGAAAAGGGTCCTGTGCTATAAAATTAGAAGCACGCAATTCCCTAGAATATCATTCTATGCCTAAACATTAAGATTTGTACTCATGGAAATTACTAAAGTAGTCAAACCTGCTCATTAATACTTTTGGCTATATAGTGTATTTTCTGCGAATGTGCGAGACTTTCAATTCATTCGCCAGCTTTGGTAAATAACTGGAAGAATAACAAAGTGGAGTAAATGATTAAACTATTCATGCTGCAAACCAGTGCGTTGATAAATGTGACGAGACATTAAAATATGATAAGAACCACCAATCTGCAATGAAGTTATAAATGGCCTTGCTGCTCTTACGCTAAAAATAAGGTGGATAGCTTAAACTTCTGCATTTTCTGAAATTAATATGAGTTTTATATTGATTGCATTAAGTTCAAATAATGGTGGGACCCTCAAAATATCAAAGAAAACATAAGTAGGCCTATGTGTTTTTTGGGGGGGGTATATGATTTATGAGTGGTGGCCATGCAGAAATCGTTATTTTTGTTCATTCAAAATTAAACTAAAGGCATAAGAAAAGGCATTTTCGTCATTTAATTGGTTTTTGACAAAAAAATTAAAAATGAATCTATAGTTGCCAGGGCAACATTTCTCATTTTGATTTAGTTTAACTTGATGTATAACTAAAAGTAAAACTGAAATAAAAAAGAACTGCAATAAGTTGCAAAATGCAATAAGTTTACTTTACCACCTTACCCTATTAGTCAATCATTTTTTATTTTATTTATATGTTTACTATTATTTTTTTATTATTATACCCTCATTGGGGGCTGAGCCCCCCCTGAAATGAAAATCCTAGAATCGCCCCTGGTTACAGCAATGCATGTCTGAAATGATGAGCCAAATATAATATAGCATTTATTAATAATGTGTGATTGGCTGGAATAAGTGTACTTTGACAGTATCCAGTGGATAACCAATAATTGATTCTCTGAACGTATTGTTGAGTTCTAATTATGTGATTGGTAGAAGAAATTAGTAGAGGTATAAGAACTCAAATGGACCAGTCTGATAGAGGAGACGCCTTAAATGTGTGCAGTGTGTTTGCTTCCAGGAACAGTGCTGGGAAACATTGTAAAAATGTTGTTTGCATAAATGTTGTTATTAACTGTGGGTTTTATATATGTGCCCTCAAAGTCTCCAAAGAACTGTGTAGTGGATAAATCAAAGAATGTGTCCAAAATACAGAAATGCCTTTAAAAATGTTTTGCATGAAGATGTTCAAATGTGTTGCTTATAAAATGTTGTTGACATGATACATGGGAATCTGATCGATGGAGTGCATATAAATGTAAATGTGTGCAGTGTGTTTGCTTCCAGGAACAGTGCTGGGAAACATTGTAAAAATGTTGTTTGCATAAATGTTGTTATTAACTGTGGGTTTTATATATGTGCCCTCAAAGTCTCCAAAGAACTGTGTAGTGGATAAATCAAAGAATGTGTCCAAAATACAGAAATGCCTTTAAAAATGTTTTGCATGAAGATGTTCAAATGTGTTGCTTATAAAATGTTGTTGACATGATATGTGGGAATCTGATCGATGGAGTGCATATAAATGTGCTTCACTCAACACAAGGATCATGCTTAAAGGGATAGTTCACCCAAAAATTTTAATGTGATGTTTATCTGCTTACCCGCAGGGCATCCAAGATGCAGGTGACTTTGTTTCTTCAGTAGAACACATTTGATGATTTTTAACTCCACGCGAATCACTGAACGAAGCGAGTCAGTTAATAGAACCTCGATCTTGAAAACACAGCGACAACAGCGGTGTTGAACCAAATATTGAGTACAGTTTTACTAGGCATTAGTTCTATGCTACTAACGTAATTTACAAGGTTAGGATTCACACATAATTTAAATGAATAATTTGTAGTGGAGCAGGAAGCCATGTCATTGAGTTTTTTTTTTAATTATTATTATTTTTAGTAAAATTCCCCCCTTATTAAAGAATCTTGTCAAAATTCCTTGCCTCAAAATCCAGTTATTGATTGATATATTCTGCTATTTTTCTCATTATAAACATAACAGAATATGTAGGACATGTATTAATTTTGTTAGCAAACTATATAAATGTAAATCTTCCTCAGCATTACCCAAATTATATAATTTTCCCCTTACCTACCCTATCCTGTATTGTCTATTTATGTTAGTCATGCAATGTTTAAATGTTGAGGTTATACTTGCAATAAAAAGTTTTTATTTAATCGCTTTAATATAAATGCTATGTCTGTCTATCTATCTAAAATAACAGTTTTGCTGCGTAAAAACAATAAATCGTTCGATCCGAACGAACCGATTCACTCCTACTACGGCGAAGGCACGTCGTGAATATTAATGAGCCCATCCTCCTATAGCTTGGCTTGGCTACTGAATATTAAAACACAACGCGATGACGCGATGACGTTCTCGGTAAGCGTCCAATAGCGAAGCGCCGCGCCTTCGCCGTAGTAGCAGGTGGGAGTCGCGCGAGTAGCGTCAGGTGAATTTTTCCACTACGACGCGATTAGCAGAGAACCTCCACTGAAGCTCAAGACTTAGGAACTATATACTAACTAACTAAACCCGGTTAACCCTTCAAAACAGGCGCGAGCTCATCTAAAGCGACGCTTGCTTGCTTGCTTCTGTCAGCGTGAAGCAGTGATGGACTTCCTTGCTGGATGCATTGGAGGTAAGGCATTTCTACTAACTTCAGTACAGTAGAGCACAGTCAATAATGATGTAGTTTTACACGGTTAGATGGAGTCACACATGCTGAATTATGTGTAGAGGAGCCGGTGTTCCGGTGAATTCGGTTTCCCTGTCTCCCCCTCACAGCGCATGCGCAGCTTCGCAGTGTTGCCAAATCCGCGGTTTTCCCGCGGCCGTGTTTAGTAGCAATTAAGAGGGTTTTTTTAAATATCCTGGCAACCCTGAAAGTTCAACACTAAAATCCAGTGTTGCCAACTTAGCAACTTTGTTGCTAAATTTAGCAACTTTTCAGACTATCCTAGCTGCTTTTTCTTCCAAAAGCACCTTGCAACAAATTTAGCTATTTTAAAATTTTATTTGGCTACTTTTAGCAACTTTTGATAAGTGACTCGGGCACACATTTTCCATCTAAATTCCCAAAAAGAGGAATCCAAAGATGCCTAGCAGTGCACACATCACATGAATTAAGTTATTACTATTTGCAATTGTTCAATTTGATCATAATAATTTAATAATTGTTCATTTATGATGCACCTTGTTGTACCCGTGATTGTTGATCAGTGTAAGAAAAATTCCTAGAAAAATGGAAAAGGTAGGCTACTAGTAATTTTCCAGGACATTATCCGTTATCCGTTGTAACCCGAAACACAAAATACAATGCGTAATTTAAAATGCAGGTGAAAAACTGAATTCAATCAGCTTGTAACACTCCAAAGAGAAAGAACAACTTGAAATCGCATCATATGACCCCTTTAAGAGTGTAGCATACTGACTAATACTTGCTTAAAACTATAATTGTTCAGAATGTGTAGTTTTACTAGCTAATAAAAAAACTTGTAATCGTTCAAAAATGTGTAAGTGTAAAATAATTAAATGTTAAAATGTACAAATACTTATGTCTTACCATTATATTATGCGTTATGCATTTATATTATTTTGCGAACAAATCTAAATTAACATATACAAATATTTTTTGTTGTATTTTGTATATTTGGCACTGAGATTTGATGCAGTGACACAATTTTGCGACGTGATTACATAATGACGTCTTCGCGCAATGACATCACAACGTTATTTAGCGACTTTTAGCAACAAATTGACCTTCCTTTAGCAACTTCCCCTGAAAACTAGTTGGCAACACTGCTAAAATCATGATTTCGCCCCGGGCTAAGCAAGTCAGCTTATGGTGGTTTTGCTGTCTTTCAACAAGCAATGTTCATTTCACCATGTTAATTAGATCATTTGTAATTAAATACGTATGTATGTGATGTCCTGTTCAATCGCAACATACCCTGCTAATTCTAACTTTTGCCTGTTTTATGAAGTGTAACACCATACACTATTTATTTATTAGGTCATTTAGCAGATGTCTAGCCACATACATTACAATTAGACAGTTAAATTCCTTCTTTTGTTCAGACGCCCATTTCCATTTTATTGTTGTTGTTGTTGTTAGTGTGTGTGTGTGTGTGTGTGTGTGAGTGTGTGTGTGTTTCTGTCAAACAACTTAAGCCTTGTCGAAATAATAACAAATAAACTATATTGTGACTAGTCTCTTTTATTATTTTAGGTAACTCAGAGGGATGCTCCATGTGTTTTTTAAATGCCATAATTACGTCTAGCCACTTTTATCTGCAGAATAGTGTCTTTACCAAGCGGCAAACTCCCGCTCTCTCTCCTGAAGCCAACATGGAAGTGACTTAAACTGTAATTCATCGACTGGCCGCTAGAGGCGGGCTCCAAAAGGGAGTCAATCCCATAGACTCCCCATGTTAAAATACCCAACTTTACAGCAGAAAAAAACATGTTTACAGCCTGGTTCAAACTATTATTTTGGTGTATATAGCTAATTTTGCCCTTCATGACAACTGTGAGGGGGGTGAATGTTTTTATAACTCCTCCGTTTAAATTATATTAAGCCGTAAAGTTCTGCATAATTAAGGGCGTGGCCACTTGAGTGACAGGTGGATTGCCGCTGCTGTCACCACCGTCGAGCTAGGTGGGCGTGACTTCAGCAACCTGCTCCCGCCTCTTTGCCCATTTTCGATTATCCGGGAGTGACGCGCGGTGACGCGCTGCCAAGATGGCAACGGCCGGCTCCACCCATTTTGAGCTTCAAAAACGCTCTTCAGAAACCTACGGGAGACGTCACAGACACTACGTCCATGTTCTTATACAGTCAATGGTCTATTTACACTAAAAACACAGGGGGAACATATCTTAAAAGATACACTAAGGTACATTAAATAACCATAATTGTCTCAAAATTAGATAAAAATAATCTGTAACAACTGCCAATTTAGCAAGGACCAAACATAAGATAATACTAGGTTTAATTAAAAAAATAAAAATAAAAAGTCCCCAAACCAAGCAGGTGTTACGTCTGAATCACTTGGTTTGTTGCGTAATCCACAAAAATGACAGAGATCGTTTAAATCTTCTATATGTATTGTGTTATAAATCCTCAGAAGGTAATATACTGGAAGAGAACCACTTTTCTCAGGCCTCTGGAAAAATCTGTTCCCCCTGTGTTTTCAGTGTAAAGTGTTCTGCAGAGAAAAGTGGCTAGACGTAATTATGACATTTTAAAACACATGGAGTAATTCATCGACTGGCCGCTAGAGGCGGGCTCCAAAAGGGAGTCAATCCCATAGACTCCCCATGTTAAAATACCCAACTTTACAGCAGAAAAAAAACATGTTTACAGCCTGGTTCAAACTATTATTTTGGTGTATATAGCTAATTTTGCCCTTCATGACAACTGTGAGGGGGGTGAATGTTTTTATAACTCCTCCGTTTAAATTATATTAAGCCGTAAAGTTCTGCATAATTAAGGGCGTGGCCACTTGAGTGACAGGTGGATTGCCGCTGCTGTCACCACCGTCGAGCTAGGTGGGCGTGACTTCAGCACCCTCCTCCCGCCTCTTTGCCCATTTTCGATTATCCGGGAGTGACGCGCGGTGACGCGCTGCCAAGATGGCAACGGCCGGCTCCACCCATTTTGAGCTTCAAAAACGCTCTTCAGAAACCTACGGGAGACGTCACAGACACTACGTCCATGTTCTTATACAGTCAATGGTCTATTTACACTAAAAACACAGGGGGAACATATCTTAAAAGATACACTAAGGTACATTAAATAACCATAATTGTCTCAAAATTAGATAAAAATAATCTGTAACAACTGCCAATTTAGCAAGGACCAAACATAAGATAATACTAGGTTTAATTAAAAAAATAAAAATAAAAAGTCCCCAAACCAAGCAGGTGTTACGTCTGAATCACTTGGTTTGTTGCGTAATCCACAAAAATGACAGAGATCGTTTAAATCTTCTATATGTATTGTGTTATAAATCCTCAGAAGGTAATATATACTGGAAGAGAACCACTTTTCTCAGGCCTCTGGAAAAATCTGTTCCCCCTGTGTTTTCAGTGTAAAGTGTTCTGCAGAGAAAAGTGGCTAGACGTAATTATGACATTTTAAAACACATGGAGCATCACTCTGAGTTACCTAAATTAATAAAAGAGAGACTAGTCATTGTACAATATAGTTTATTTGTTATTATTTCGACAAGGCTTCAGTTGTTTAACAGAAACACACACACACACTAGCAACAATAAAATGGAAATGGGTGTCCGAACAGCCATCCATCCATCCATCGGTTTTCTATAAATGTAATTTAGTTTGTTGTTGTTGAGCTGTATGTTGAGGTAGTCGAGTCACGGTATTTTAAAAAAGTGATTAATTTATTTTTGATTGTGATTTCCCATTGTTTAAACTTGTGCACTCACGGTTAACATTAAAAAGACCAGAACGTCTTGAAATTGTGTAGTTTTGGGAAAAAAAAAGAAAAAGTGTATCTTTTAAGATATGTTCCCCCTGTGTGTTTAGTGTTTTAGTTTAAGGCACTATTCTGCAGATAAAAGTGGTTAGACATAATTATGACATTTTAAAAACACATCAGGAGCATCACTCTGAGTTACCTAAAATAATAAAAGAGAGACTAGTCATTGTGCAATATAGTTTATTTGTTATTATTTCGACAAGGCTTCAGTTGTTTAACAGAAACACACACACACACACTAGCAACAATAAAATGGAAATGGGTGTCCGAACATCCACCCATCCATCCATCCATCGGTTTTCTATAAATGTAATTTAGTTTGTTGTTGTTGAGCTGTATGTTGAGGTAGTCGAGTCACGTGATGGAATTCCGCTCTGCCGCCTTTGAAGTATGCAATGTTACATTGTGACTGGTTTACTGCTGCTGAATGATGAACGTTCTAAATGTGGTTACAATGTCAACATTTTTCTTTGTGGTGAAAACTTATGCCAAAAATCATTAGGATATTAAGTAAAGATCATGCTCCATGAAGATATTTAGTAAATCTCCTACCGTAAATATATCTAAACTTAATGTTTGATTAGTAATATGCATTGCTAAGAACTTCATTTGAACAACTTTAAAGATGATTTTCTCGATATTTAGATTTTTTTGCACCCTCAGATTCCAGATTTTCTAATATTGTCCGATCCTAACAAACCATACATCAATGGAGAGCTTATTTATTCAGCTTTCAGATGATGCATACATCTCAATTTTTAAAAATTGACACTTAAGACTGCTTTTGTGCTCCAGGGTCACATATAAGCACTTAACTGGACAGATTTGGTCACGGATAGCGAGCCTGTAACCAACATGAGAGGAAAAGGTGAAAGTTTAAGAATCAACTATTGATAAGCAAATCTGAATATTGGCTCAGGCCTTCAGGGTACTAAACAAACACATTCAGATTCACTCACAGATTGTTTGAATATGATATAAGTTAGAAATACTTCAAATGTGTGCAGAGTGCAGACTGATTCCTCATGATTGACTTTAATTGAATATGTAGCCTACAAGCCTCGTTGAAGTCGTCCTGTTCTCTTCTGTGAATATCAGTCATGCATGAGCTGCTGTGAAATGTGTTTTCCAGAAGAGCCCAGAATAGCCCCCTCCCAAACGCCTGTCCATGTCCCGTGAAACACAGAGGCGTCCCACACACCCCTGCGGGAGCCAATCCCGGCCACGGGACGGGCCACGTCTCTCGAAGCTCCTGTCGGCTCGTGTTTCATATTACAGACACAGTGCTTCATAAAAGCTGGATAACAGGTGTCATTATGAACCCAGAGCATCATTTTCCCTGAGTTTATAAATTAATAATTAGATTGTGGCTTATTAACAAAAGCTGAAATATAGCTGAAAAGTGTTTTTCCAACTTGTACTAATATGCATAAAAACATATACTAATATATACCGTATTTATTTATTTACTAGTTGTTTATTATGGTGAGTGTATACGCACACTCAATAATTAATAAAATAAATGCATGTATTAATGTTTGTGCATATATCTTAATTTTATTGTTTGTTATTTATAACTACTATATAAATATAGATATCTATATATGTCTTATTTTAATTTATTAGTTGTTTTATATATATATATAAGCAAGTATAACTATTCACATACTGTATATATGATATTAAAGATAATAAATATAAAAGACATGTTGGGTTAAAAATATATTTTTTTAAATCGGTAAATAAAAAATAAACAATCAAGGCATGTTTTTCATGCCGTTTTTCACTGAATGAGCAACACAAGTAATAATGATATTTAATGCTATAAAATATCAAAATATTTAAATTTATTTTTAACATATAAAACATGCCACACCGAGAATTTTTGTTAACATTTTTACACGATGCAAAAAGAAAGCTGGGAAAAAAAGCAATCGGTCTATTTAAACATTCAAGGCCTTTTTTAATCACAAGGAATAATGATATTTAATGTTTTTATGTGCACCGATTTGTAAATACATTCAACATTAATCAAACTTACTGACTATTAAAACATCTCTCTGAAGACTCTCAGAATTACTTTTTTTTTTTTTTAAATCAAGTTTAGCCAAATTTTTGTATCGGCAGCAAATATACAGTACTGTGAATATATTCTGTATGTCACCCAGCCCTTCTCTGTAGCCTTACTATATGTATGTGTTTTTTGGTTTTACATAACATCACTGAAGTCAGCTCTTGGCCCTATCTGACAACTTGAGTCTGTCGTAAAGGACTCGTTTTGATTGGTCAGGATGGACCAACGCCTTCGGTCCACACTGACTCCCATCAGCCCGAGCACATGTGAACTCGTCATTGCTCTCTTTGGCTTGGAGCAGTAACCGCTGATATGTAATACCCTGTGAGATACTGAGATATATCTCCTGTGAGATTTCCAGTCCTACATTAGCATCTTTCAATGATGGTTTCATACTAAAATGCCGTTTGACATGTATATATATTTTTTAAAACAAGCAGTATATCTGATTTTTTTTCACAATTCTGAGAAGAAAAAAGGTCAGAATGGCTGGATATAAACTCAAAATTGTGAGTCGTAATTTAGAATTGTGAGACAAACTCAGAATTGCAAGATGTGTTCCGAGAAAAAAAATATCAGAATTGCGAGTTATAAACTTAGAATTGCGAGATGTGTTCCGAGAAAAAAAATATCAGAATTGCGAGTTATAAACTTACAATTGCGAGATGTGTTCCGAGAAAAAAAAATATCAGAATTGCGAGTTATAAACTTAGAATTGCGAGATGTGTTCCGAGAAAAAAAAAATCAGAATTGCGAGTTATAAACTTAAAATTGCGAGATGTGTTCCGAGAAAAAAATATCAGAATTGCGAGTCGTAAACTTAGAATTGCGAGATGTGTTCCGAGAAAAAAAATATCAGAATTGCGAGTTATAAACTTAGAATTGCGAGATGTTTTCCAAGAAAAAAAATATCAGAATGGCGAGTTATAAACTTAGAATTGCGAGATGCTTTCCGAGAAAAAAGATATAAACTCAGAACTGCAAGTTGTAATGTATGTTTTCTTTTTTAAGAGTGTTTGTTATTGTCTTTGTTTGTGTGGTTTTCGTGAATCCGTTATAAAGCACTTTGGGCAGCTCTGAAGGCAGTAGAAATGTGCTATATAAGAAAATAAACTAAACTAAGAATTCAGAGACAAAGTCAGGAATTTGAGATAAAAACTGCAATTACCTTTTTTAATGTTTTATTAAGTGACTATTATATTCTATTTCCATAGGTATACAATAAATATTTCTCAATATCTAAGCGTTCTAAACTCATATTTCTCTTTTCTGTGCAGGTGCTGCCGGGGTCCTCGTCGGACATCCGTTTGACACGGTTAAGGTTAGTAATCATCAACTCGTGTTGTTCGAACCGGCTGTTGATTTCTTAGGAACTCTCTTAAAACAAGCGAGCAAACTGTTATCATTGCTATTTTTGGCTGATGTTTAACGCAGGGAGCTTGCTATCTGTCGTGACACTTTACTCCATCCTATCGATTTCATGCTGAACCCTATGACTTAAAAATTACTTCTGTTCCTAAATAAATCAGTTTGTGAAAGCACATCATACCGCTTCTGTGCTCACAGGGTAACTAACTAAAAGTAGTGATGCAACTAACTGTTCATTTATGTTTATATTATTATTTTTCTATTATATTTATATAATTGTATATATATATATATATATATATATGTATGTGTATATGTGAGCCTGCAGCACAAAAGCAGTGTTGAGTCGCTGGGGGATATTTGTAGCAATAGCCAACAATACATTGTTTGGGTCAAAATTATCGATTTTTATTTTATGCCAAAAATCATTAGGATATTAAGTAAAGATCATGTTCCATGAAGATATTTAGTACATTTCCTACCGTAAATATATCAGAACTTAATGTTTGATTAGTAATATGCATTGTTAAGAACTTCATTTGAACAACTTTAAAGATGATTTTTTTTTGCTCCCTCAGATTCCAGATTTTCAAATAGTTGTATCTCGGCCAAATATTGTCCGATCCTAACAAACCATACATCAATGGGAAGATTATTTATTCAGCTTTCAGATGATATATTGATCTCAATTTCAAAAAATTTACCCTTATGACTGATTTTGTGCTCCAGGGTCTCACACACACACACACACACACACACACACACACACACGCACACACACATGTCTGGTCAACTATCCTTGTGGGGACTCTTCATAGGTGTAATGGTTTTTATACTGTACAGACCGTATATTCTATTGCCCTACACCAACCCTACCCCTAAACCTACCCCTCACAGGAGACTTTCTGTATTTTTAGATTTTCAAAAACCTTAATTCTCTATGATTTATAAGCTTTTGTACCCGTGGGGACCACAATTTAGGTCCCCACCGTGACACGAGTCCCCATGAGTCTGTGTGTAGTCAGGTTTAAGTCCCCACCAGGATATATAAACCAGTACACTCACTCACACACACACTCACGCACACACACACTCACATGTACATGTATTTAATAAATTTTCTGACATGAATTAATAATACTGATGTAAAAAATGTAAAACAACACGAACAAAGTAATTTAAAATAATCTTTTTGTCACTTGCATGTTTGGTTTTATTTGTTTATTCATTTATTTGTTTTGTTGCTGCTTTTTTATTTTACTTGTCTTGAATATTTAGGCCCTACTTTGAAGAACTTAGTTGAAAATTATTAATAATATGCCTTTGTCTTTTAAATCTTTATATTTTTAGGCACATGCATTTTTTTATAGGTAGATAGATACGTTTTTATAGTTGGTTTTGTTCGAAGTGAATTACTGTAAATGTGTTATTGGATCACTTCTTGCATGGTTTAAAACTAGGCTGCAGCCAGCGCTGGTCTTCAGCCACTAGACCACAATGGTGTTTCACCTGTTTCCATATTCAAAAGAAACTCTGAAGAACGAGCTCTTGTTTTCATGGGTTTGAAGTAGTGCTGGGCGGTATACCGGTTCATACCGAATACCGGTGTTTATTTTTGTTATGATATGAATTTTTAAAATACCGTAATACCGGTGTGTGTCGCTTAAACAACGTTCGGAAAGCGACACTGTTTGAAA